CTGGGCATTCAAAATCGACGTGGGCTGGTGGTAGCGCACCTGTAGTAGATTTCCGTGCTTCGGGGTCGTCTGGATTTGTTGGCAATCGAGTCTGGTGATGATCCGGATGTGGGCAATAGGCGTTCTGCTTCATGAAAGCTGCTCGTCTTCTAATTTCGGGGGATGGCGAATTCGAGAACGAGTGGAAGAGGTTGTTCGGCTTCAAGAGAGCTCGTCCTTCAACCTCTGGAGGCGGGGTTGATTCCAAGCCACTTGGAGTTCTATATTGCGGAGGCTCATTTCTTGCTACCTGCCCTTGCCCAAATGATATCGCTCGACGGCCCAAGTCCTTTTGCGCCAATTGATTCCCGGATGGCAGATTCGAAGAGAGTTTGGTGCTTCTACTATTGCCAGAAGTAATGGTTCTATTGCCCAAGCCGATTGACCTTGGCGTTTTTCTGAGCGCATGTAAGCACTGCCGGCAAGTATATGAAGTTGAAGGACGCATGATTTCAAGCACTGTCAAGCTTCTTAAGAAAAATTGAAGAAGTAAAAGCGCTTTACAAGCTGTGTATGAGAAATTTGATACATGAGGTGATTTCTATGATAAGTGGTCGCGTATTCTTTATTAAAGCGGCATGGATTCTTTTAGCTCGTGAATATTTGTAGATTCAAGAAAACAACCTCGAACACCCAAAGCTTTGCGACAAGCTACTTGTCGGACTCTTACAAATGATACCATCTTTGCATTTTCGCGCAAAGTGAATAATCTTACCTGAAGCTGCGCAGACTTTCTGCGCCGCTGCCCAAACATGGCTACCACATCAAACCAATTCTTGTACAGCTTGACCATCAACCCTCCCACCGCCATCACCCAAGCAATACTCGGACAGTTTGCTGGCACGAAAGAACAGCAGATTGTGACTGCCTCTGGTTCGCGTCTCACTCTCCATAGACCAGATCCATCGCAGGGAAAGATTATCACAGCACTTTCACACGATGTTTTTGGTATAATAAGAGCTATTGCAGCTTTCAGATTGGCTGGTAGCAATAAGGGTAAGTCCTTCATCTCATCCCACTTGAGCTTCACTTAGTGATTTGAAGCATCGATGGCAGCACGAATCATACCGATATGAATAGCCTGTGGGGACGAGTGTTATAGAAACTCGGTCACAATTGAGAGCTAAGCTAAAATAAACAATCGCAGATTATATTATCATCACATCCGATTCTGGCCGTATAACGATCGTCGAGTTCGTCCCCGCACAAAACAAATTCAATCGCCTACATCTCGAGACTTTTGGCAAGTCGGGCGTTCGAAGAGTAGTTCCAGGGCAATACTTGGCTGTGGACCCGAAAGGCAGAGCTTGTTTAACTGCTTCGGTGGAGAAGAACAAGCTTGTATATGTCTTGAATCGCAATTCTCAAGCGGAACTTACTATATCATCCCCCTTGGAAGCCCATAAAGCACAAACTTTAGTGTTCGCATTGGTAGCATTGGATGTGGGATACGCAAATCCGGTGTTTGCGGCTCTCGAGGTTGATTATGGAGAGTCGGATCAGGATCCCACAGGTCAAGCATATGACGAGATTGAGAAACAGCTTGTCTATTACGAACTTGATCTGGGCTTGAATCATGTGGTGAGAAAATGGTCGGAGCCTGTCGATCGAACGGCGAATATACTTTTCCAGGTGCCTGGAGGAACGGATGGACCTAGTGGTGTTTTAGTTTGTGGGGAGGACAATATCACCTACAGGCACTCTAATCAAGAAGCATTCCGCGTTGCTATCCCTCGCCGCCGTGGTGCAACAGAAGATCCACAAAGAAAAAGAAATATTGTAGCAGGAGTTATGCATAAACTTAAGGGTGCTGCAGGAGCTTTCTTCTTCTTACTACAGACAGATGATGGTGATCTTTTCAAAATAACCATTGAGATGGTTGAAGACGATAATGGGCAACCAACTGGCGAAGTCAGACGTCTCAAAATTAAGTACTTTGATACCGTGCCTGTTGCGACAAGTCTCTGTATCCTCAAAAGTGGATTTCTTTTTGTTGCAAGCGAGTTCGGCAACCATCAGTTCTACCAATTTGAGAAGCTTGGTGATGACGATGAAGAAACAGAATTTGTCAGCGATGATTTCCCAACTGGAGCTCATGAATCATACACGCCCATATATTTCCATCCACGACCAGCTGAGAATCTGAGCTTAGTCGAAAGTATCGACTCGATGAATCCATTGATGGACTGTAAAGTTGCCAATCTCACCGACGAGGATGCACCACAAATCTATTCCATTTGTGGTACCGGCGCTCGAAGTACTTTCAGAACCCTGAAACATGGCTTAGAAGTAAGTGAAATCGTCGAATCCGAACTGCCTGGTGTGCCATCTGCAGTCTGGACGACAAAGCTTACTAGAGGTGATACCTATGATGCTTACATTATTCTCTCTTTCTCCAACGGTACTTTGGTTCTCAGCATCGGTGAAACTGTAGAAGAGGTGACTGATACTGGATTTTTGTCATCGGCGCCAACACTAGCTGTACAGCAACTTGGCGAGGATTCTTTAATTCAGGTGCATCCTAAAGGTATTCGACACATTCGCGCCGATCGTCGTGTGAATGAGTGGGCCGCTCCTCAGCATCGTTCTATCGTTGCAGCTACTACAAATGAACGACAAGTTGCTGTAGCTCTAAGTTCTGGAGAGATTGTCTATTTTGAGATGGATTCAGATGGATCTCTCGCTGAGTATGACGAAAAGAAAGAGATGAGCGGTACAGTTACCTGTTTGAGTCTTGGTGAAGTTCCAGAAGGACGTCAAAGAAGTCAATTCTTAGCTGTTGGTTGCGATGACTCAACAGTACGTATTCTGAGTTTGGATCCCGAATCAACACTTGAGAACAAGTCGGTTCAAGCTTTGACTTCTCCTCCAAATGCCCTTTCCATTATGGCTATGTCGGACTCGTCATCTGGCGGCTCAACTCTATACCTTCATATCGGACTTTATTCGGGTGTCTATCTACGGACCGTTTTAGATGAAGTGACTGGAGAGCTTTCTGATACACGAACACGTTTCCTTGGGCCAAAGCCTGTCAAGCTTTTCAGAGTAGCCGTCCAAGGTCAGACTGCAGTGCTTGCACTCAGCTCTAGACCATGGCTCGGATATTCCGATCCCGTCACCAAAGGGTTTATGCTCACCCCACTGGACTATCCAGCTTTGGAATGGGGCTGGAATTTCAGTAGTGAGCAGTGTACTGAAGGAATGGTGGGAATTCAAGGACAAAATCTAAGGTACGTTCATACAATTGTTATATTTTCAAAAGCACCATATACTATGATGATTTTCTTATCGTTAAACTTCTTATGTCGTCCATGACTATGAGGATGTAACATTATAATTCCAATTGTTCCTTCTGAAATATCTAATCCCACTCAATTATTCAAAATTTTACACTTATTTTGGAGCAATGGCTAATTCACCATAGAATATTCTCTATCGAGAAGCTCACCGACAACCTTTTGCAAGAATCCATCCCTCTAACTTATACTCCTCGTCGTTTCGTCCGGCACCCCGAACATCCTTGTTTCTATGTCATTGAAGCAGACAATAACATACTTTCTCCAGCCACCAAGCAGAAGTTACTCGAGGATCCTTCTGTTACAAATGGTGATGCCACAGTACTTCCCCCTGAGGAGTTTGGTTACCCAAGAGGAACAAACCACTGGGCGTCTTGCATCTCTGTCGTCGATCCTGTGACCGAAAAGAAAGTTTTGTCTACAATTCACCTCGAGGACAATGAATGTGCAGTCAGCATCGCTGTTGTTGCTTTCGCTAGTCAAGAAGATGAAACATTCTTATGTGTCGGAACTGGTAAAGATTTGGTGGTTAGCCCAAGATCGTTCTCTGCAGGGTTTATTCACGTGTACCGCTTCCATGAAGACGGCAAAGAGCTCGAATTCATACACAAAACGAAAGTTGAGGAACCACCTATGGCACTGCTTGCTTTCCAAGGTAGACTGTTGGCTGGAGTCGGAAAAGATCTACGTATTTACGACCTTGGAATGCGACAACTCTTACGAAAAGCACAGTCTGAAGTTGCGCCTAATATGATTGTTGGATTACAAACCCAAGGCAGTCGTATCATTGTCAGTGATGTCCAAGAGAGTATCACCATGGTCGTGTACAAATTCCAAGAGAATAGACTCATTCCATTCGTGGATGATACTATCGCAAGGTGGACATCGTGTACTACCATGGTAGATTATGAGACTGTAGCAGGAGGGGACAAATTCGGCAACCTTTGGCTTCTTCGTTGCCCCGCTAAAGCCAGTGAAGAAGCGGATGAAGAAGGCTCTGGTGCTCATCTTCTACACGAACGTCAATATCTGGCTGGAGCCCCTCATCGATTAACATTGATGGCGCATAACTTTTCCCAGGACATTCCTATGAGCATTCAAAAGACAAACCTCGTTGCCGGAGGTAGAGATTGCTTACTGTGGAGTGGTCTTCAAGGCACACTTGGTATCTTGATACCATTTGTCAGTCGAGAAGACGTAGATTTTTTCCAGACATTGGAACAACATCTGAGATCAGAAGACCCGCCTTTGGCTGGAAGAGATCACTTAATATACCGAAGTTATTATGTGCCAGTAAAGGGCGTCATTGATGGAGATTTATGCGAAAGATATACCCTCTTGCCAACGGACAAGAAACAAATGATTGCAGGAGAGTTGGACCGCTCGGTTAGGGAGATTGAGAGAAAAATTTCGGTAATTACCCCTATTCATCTTTCATGGATATCACGAGGCTAACAATAGTTCTAGGATATTCGGACACGATCGGCATATTGATTTGGCGTAATTTGGGACAGGGGGCTTGTACCAGACGGCGCTGTATATTTTATAAGGTGCTTGATGTGCACTGTATCATGAACTCCATCCATCTCATGATGTTATGTTAAAATACAAAAATAAAGAGGAATCTAAAACACGCAATTAGACAGCAATGTACGGGCGAAAATCTCATGATCTCTGTCCTGTGAATCTTCTCTTCGCAACATCATATCTCGACTTCCCTTTTCCTTTCCCTTTATCCGATATAGGATTTTCTTTCTCCCATCTCTCGTCATCTTTGTATATTCCCATTGCGAGCTCTAGGTCGTAGTTCGCTTGTTCGAGGTATAGGACTGCAATGTCGTATCTAACGGGACATTCAATGTTAGCCTTCGATCGGTCTAATGTATTCAACCCTTTCTATTGAAACTCCTACACTCGAGAGGCTTTGAATCTTGTGTCCCTCCAAACTTTACCGGTGGCCCTTCTCTCTTTCTCCATTTCCCATTCCGCAAATAATATAAAACACAAACTCACTCAGAAACTTTACACCCAACCATGAATCTTCTCACGCAACTCTTCCTCCTCTCTTCTTCCTCCCCTTCCACAGGCCGCGGGCTCAAACTCACTCCCCCTTTATACCATTCCCCAGGTATCAATATTGTTTTTCTGGCAAGAAGGAGGTGATCACTTGTTATACCATTTTTCTTTCGCAACACATCAATTGGTACACCGTAGCGAAAGGATAGAGAAGTCATGGAATCGGTGGCGTGCGAGAGGAAGTGGAGGGTATCTTCAGATTGTGGTTCGTTTCTCGACTGTGACTGAGTTTGGGCTTCTGATTTTGAGTCTAGAGTGTGAGAGTAAGTAGGAGGGGAAGCTCGTGAATTCGATTCGGAAGAATGAAGGGATTCGTAGGAGGGTGGTTGTTCCGACGGCGTGGAAGCTGCTACTGTATTATCCACCGCTTCTGCACTCCTAACCTGACAGAAAGGACAGTAACTCCCGAATCTCTCATTGCCCTCTATACATTCCCCGCAGATAATGCGTCCGCAGCATGATAACCTTCTATTTTCTCTGCTACTTCTCCTTTCTTTCTCATTCCAATGTGTGTCTTCTGCTTCCTTCTTTATATCATATGCCGGGCTCTTCTCTGAGAAGACCACCCCTTCTTTCATTTTCTCATTAAAATTTGAATCACTTCTCGTCGATTGGAGGGAAGAATTGCTTTCCATCGTAGATGCCGAGTAAGAAGGTAGGCCGTTCCTCCCTTCATTCCTCTCTATCTGCACAAGTAGACGCGCACAAGTGCAGCAAGATTCCTGATTCGTTTTATTCATTCTTCTCAACTGTATGATATTAAGTATGCGTAAGAAAGACTTCAGTAAACAGAGACACAAACGAAGGAAAGCTCTAATGTTGATTGATTTGTATGATTTGTTTTATTGTACAAGTAATGGTACCTACTGATAGTGCTGATAGCTGACTATTTGCCCCTCGCTTCATACGGAAGGCGGGGTGATCTTCATGTGACGTAGCGCTATATGTTTTCTTATCGGAATGCACAATCGACATCTACCGACCTCCTCTCCAATTCTTCTTACACGTTCAACTTCATTCCTCTTTTTTGTAACAACTAGAACATTCAAAACTTTTCTAATCATATCATATCATATTATTTCTAATTTCTCCTACTCGATATCGATACTTTTACAACATGTCAAGTATCCAGTCCGTCATGACTATCTCCTACCTACCTTGGAATCCTCAGAATACCCATAATCAGTATCGGCATTCCATCATCTGAACGTTCAAACTGTTGCGGCCCTCTCAGCGTCCCCATCAATTTCTTTAGTCAACAAACCTTCGTCCAGCTTTTCTTTGGGCGATTTAAAAAGGGAGTTGGCATGTACATATATTTAGATCCAGCACTCCGATCTATTCCATGCCTTCTCAGATCAACTATCGTAATCGGAAATATCAAATTACAAACCGACAATATCTCACACGCAAACTCATGACTCCCCAGGTCCTTATATCTCGTATTGAACTCTAGACACCCCTTCCCATCCACTTTGGGTAGTAAATGGCGGGAGCCATCCCTTTGCATAGGTTTCATCTCGCAGATATATTTGATCTTACGCTCTTCAACCACTAATGACCCTCCAGAGCGTACCCATATTCAATTTATCCCCGCCAGGAGAAGATGTCTGCGAAAAATGTGCGTCTACTTGCTGCAGATGATTCCCTTCAGGTACGCATAATCTATCGCTATTATAACAGCCATCGGATGAACTCAGGCTACTGAAATAGTTAACTATCTATTCTTGCTTTAGGTTTCCCGTATCATTGTACATATGCAGTAGCAACACGCGGAACTTACTTTTGATCTTCTGTCATCTCCTCTTTGGCTGACATCTCATTTTCTGTCTCTGTCATCGCTTTTATATCTTCTGAGCGTCTTCGCAATCGATTTTTCTCCCTCATCAATTGCACATATTCCTCTATTATACTGTAAATTTTCTCCTGGATACCTTTAAGTTCATTATGAATCTTAAGACTTTCGTCCAGATAACCTATTTCTAATAGATGCTGGCCATCCTTACTCGCTACCTTTATTCCCGTTAATCTCTCAACTGGACTGCGATCTCGAATACTCTGGCTGTTTCATATCTTAGGGCCCTGCGTCATAGTCGACTGTTGCCTGCAGCTGTTCTCATTTTCATCCAATGATTTAACGGACGCAAATTCCGAAGGAAGCCGTCCCATAAAGGTTTGATTCACAGGAAAGACTTCACTTCGAATGGGTAGTTGAGTGTAGACTGGTGATCGAGTGTCAATCAGCAAGATTGGTGGCAGTATGCATGAGCCTGTCGGGCCTTCCAGGAGACTTTTAATTGAGGGCAGTTTGATGGCATCTTTCAAAGAAGGGGACTTCATTTCCGAACGGATTTGGCTTGCCAAAAAGGATAGTATCTTTACTAAGTATGTATTGTTTTCAGTGTGTTTAAAATGTAATCGAGTAGACTGTTAGTATTTTAGTTTTACCATGTAGCTTCTACGCTTCTTACCCATCTTATAAGCTCCAAATAGCCACCAACTCGAAAAGTTACCATCCCCTTCATCTTACCTACCACGAAACGAAGAAGGAGCCACCAGTTACGAAAACCACTCGCCAATGATCTGAAAACTCCTCGTCATATTTTACAAACAATAAGCAGTAGAGCGTTGGTTCTAGTGCATGGAGTCTGAAACACAAGTTGCAGCAGCATAGGGTGATGGTGAGATGATGGTATTCTCAGAACGAGTATGAGTATAATTTAAATCAATCACTTGGGAGGAGGGGAGGGAACATGCGGCCTTCTACAGTTGGTAACTTTTACACAATGGATAAGTAGATCTGGAATTTAAATCTTGGATTCTATAGACCAAACGCCCCTCTGTAATGCTAATCGTACACTTGCATCTTTACCCTTACCCCATTTTTGCTACACTTACAACTTTACCTTCATCACTCCTCATCGATCATCCAACATTTCCTCCCGCCACCTTCACTCTGCTCTTCTTATACACTTGCTCTTTTCATGTTCTTAATCTTTTCATGCACCTACTCCTCTTCTACCCCTATCACTATCCCTCTTCCTTTTTCGAATCCTCTCTCCCAATCCAAAGAAACCGCTCTAACTTTCAAGTTTCAACTTCCTACCTACCCTCCACTTCACTTTACTCCACCTCACTTCAACTACAATCATCTCACAATCTAGTATACCTAATTATTTATATACACAGTATCACAACACATCCACGTCCACCCATTCAAGCACTCAAGCACTCAAGCAAAGTCAGTCTAGTCTAACCCAATATTCCTGCAGTAATACTATATTCTCTAACACCTACTGATTCTACTCATTTTCTTGTTCATATAGCTTCATATTCATCATCTATTCTTCCAATGTTCGCTTCTCAGCTATCTAGCTATCTAGCCACTCAAACAAGTCATTGCAATCTTGCTACAGCACCTATCTACCTATCTAGTAATAGTAACGATACAATGTAATCATGAAAGTGCTATTCTGATATTTTAAACATTTCAATATTTCATGCGAAAGTTTGCATAAGCACCTACCTATCTACTACCTAGTCGTAGTAATCCAAATAGTTAAACAAAACCCCAAACTTATCTTTCGATGCAAGTGCGTCTTTGGGAGTATATATATGGACAGTGTCTCTCTCCTTGTAACTGTACCATCAAATATCTAGATTGCAGAAGACTTCGCCTTCGAAGTTTGCGCGAAATTACTTGTTGATCAATACATACCTAGTGGTAAGCAAAAACTCTTCTACAACTTCATCTCCCGCAATCTAGAAAGTTCGACATTGCGATAATCAAAGCTCATGAAAGAATCTTTTTAGATGGAGTTATGTAACTTTTTTCATTACTATCTATACATGACATTTGCCCTCACACGCGTCAAGTATCTTTGCCGGCCAACGTGTTTAGCTCTTCTGCCTCCCCAGTCCCCCCTTCCAATGAGAAGTCGGGGATGTCTTTATCCTAAAGACATCATGACGAGTATGTTTGAATCGTTCCTTTCGTTCTCACATCGTTTGGATGCATGAGTGGGATTGGATTTGGAATCGGATTAGGACCGGGTATGAAGGGTGTTCACTTCATCTGGTCTCTCGATAGTTTGAGATTCGAATCTGTATATGTACAGTGTTATGTTCCGCTGGAGAAAATATGACGTGATGTTTCTTTTCCCAGAAAAGAATATCTACAGACTTCCCCATCCTGGGAATAAACTTCCTATACAATGATTATATAACAAGTACGACGGAATGTATGTTAGTGCACCTCTTGTATCAGTGATAATTCCTCAATCCAATATATCGACTTCTTGCATTACGGTTCCGTTAGAAAGAGGAAAAGTTCCGTTTGAAAGATCGGTGCTTTGGCTGATTGTGATTGGGCCCGAAATAGATTGTTGAACCAGACCATCTTCGTTTAGCGATTTAGATCGATCGGAGTGTGGTGGGGTGATACCATCATGTTCATCACGTTCGCGCTGTTCCCAAAGCATTTGCGTTCTGGCTAAAGCCAATGCAAGCAATTCCTTCTCGTTTGAATTTTCTCGTCTTGATACTTTGGGCTCTGGGAAAGGATTCGTGCTTGTTTTAGTTTCGATTTTCGTATGTGTGACTAAGGTTCCACTGATGTAGATTTGGGGCTCAGGCCAAAATGGTTGGCTTGGATCATGATCTGAGTCTTGCTCATATCTGTTGACCGGAGTGGCGCCTAAGGGGACAAGTTCTTGGTATTCGATAGCTATTTGACTATCTCGTAGGTGAGGAAAATTAGGCACCACATACATGAACTCCGATACCTACAATGATGTGAGCAAGCTAACCATTTTCAGAAATGCAGGACACGTACCTTTACGAAGAAAAGATCGAGCCCAAGGAACAGAGGCTTAGCGTCTTCTGCCAGGTGCGCACGTTCATCGGAAGGAATGAGTATATTTGGCTTGAAAGGATCACGAGAATATTTTGCGTGTGCACGGGGCCATATAGCTTCCTTGGCATCCAACTCTAATGGAATACGTTCCCATGCCGTATCTATCACAGCAAGTCAATACAATTTCTTTAGTTGTTCACTTCCCTGTACTCACATCTTGACAACTCGAGGTCTTTCTCTCCCAGCAATAATGCAACATCAGTGTTCAGCATCCACTGCTCTCGCGCAGTGGGGCTGCCTATTGCTTCTGGTTTAATGGTATCATATCGATATCCTTGTATGATTCGGAATTTGGACAAAGAAGCAATTTTGAGTGTCTCAGCTTGTGGGAGTTGATCAAACACTCGAAGTAGAAGTGGAAGTTTTGATAGTCTTTGTTCTTCCCTTTCTCGCGCCTGTCTCGCTTTCTCAGACCGTTCTCGCTCTTGCGCAGCGGCCCGGTTTTGTTCCAATTTCTCCCGCTCTATCCTTTTCTGATCGTCGTATATTCGCCTTTGTTCTGCCTTGTCGCGTTCTTCCTGGGCATGTCGTGATTTTCGGTCCTCTTCTTCCTGTGCTCGCTTAGCAGCTTCCTCGATGGCTAGTTTCTCCTGAGCCTCTTCGGCTTCTCGAGCTTCTTTCTCCCGTGCTTCTCTCTCCTTTGCTTCTTTCTCTGCTGCTTCCCTTGTTTCCTTCTCTTTTACTTCCCTTGCTTCCTTCTCCTTTGCTTCTCGGGCTTCT